GAAGGAAACTGTCAAATTCTATTGGATGTTCACTTATACTTTATTTAAGGATCAAACAAACAAGTTAAATCACCAAACCGTTTTGTCCCAGCAACATCCTGAAACAGAATCGAGAAATAATGAGTTTATCATGGTGACCAAACCTTGAGAATTCTATAGTAGTTTGAGGTCATAGCCCTCTCTTTTGTGGTAAGAATTTTTTGCTGGAAAAATACTGCTACTATACAGCCTATTTCTTTCTTAAAATGTGGTTCTTAGTTGTAGATAGTAATTTAATTTTTCTCTGGGCATACTGGAGGGTGTAGATTCTATCAGAGGGATTTTACTTCTTTGCCTGTGGAGGGAGCAGAGTGGCAGGCATAAGCAGAATGACAAAATAATTTGTTCAGGCAATGTAGCTTCATGGCTTGCACGAAGGGATGGGTGGATTCTCTTGAAGACTGTGGAGATTGGATAAATATTTAATAAGACTTTATTAACGAATGAGTAGTATTTCAATTGGCTGCTTCTTAACGTGCCCACTATCTTCAGCTTCTGTTTCAATACTCCTAACTTGTTCATGGATGACATTTTTAAGCAGGTGGTTTTAGGTTGGCTTTGTAGTTCAACAGCATCTTCCAGGATCTGGCTCTTAGAATCTTTCTGCTTTGTCATACTAAATAAGTCGTAAATATCTCCCCTCATGGTCTCAAGATGAACTGTGTTAGTTCCAAGCATCATTTTGAAGCAGGGAGCAGGGTTGGGAAAAGGGAGGCCTTTCTCTTCCATCTCTCGTATCACGGAGGAGGGGTATTCCCAGGAGTCCTCCAAGACTGCTTTGACTTAAATCTCATTGACCAGGATCAAATTACGTGTCTGTCTTACTTGTCACTGGCAAACGGGAAAGGGATTCTCATGGTTGACTTACATGGTTTTAATTCATACTGGGGCTAGGGAAACTCTTTCTCCCCCAACAGAATTGGGATCTTGTTCAAAAGGAGCAAGTAGGAAATAGCTATGATTAGTGTCTGCCACATTCCTTGATGGCAGAACCTTTATCATGTTATCTAGCTATTTCTAAGAACTTAGCATAATGCTTGGTACATGATAGACTCTCAAGAAATTGTTAAATAAATAAATGGTAAATGGAGAGCCAATGACTCTGGAGAGCCAATAAATGACTCTGGAGAGCCAATCAATAAAAAATTATTGAGTCCAATAATAGGTCACATTTACTGAGCAACTAACATATTCCAGGCATTGCATATCATTTCTAATTTTTAGAGCTACTCGGCCAGGTGGGTTTTAAAGATCTTCATTTTATTATTGAGAAACTAAGGCTGAGAGAGCTTGAGTAACTTGCCTAAGGTCATAAACCTGGGAAATGGCAAGTCTATGTGGTTCCAAAATCCTGCTTCCTTCTGTAATACTATAGAGTCTCTCTGTGTTGGGACATGTTTTTGGTTCTCTGCAGCTTGCCTTAATTAATAATTCTCCTGAGTGTCCTTTAGGGTTAGAGAATCTCTGGTAGAAATTGAAGTCTTTAGCTTCTAACTTCTGACTCATATCTGTGAATGAATCAAACTGGAAGGGAATGTAGTAGGCAAAAATGCAATATAGATAGTTTATCAGTTTCTTGCAGCTAAATTTGAGACTGAAAAACAAGCTACTTAAGTTAGAAGAGAGGATATATAGAATAGAACTTAATATTTCTGGCCAATAGAGACAAAGGTCATTTGGATCTGATAACTGGATCATTGTGAGAAAATTACTATCAATAGTTAGACCACTGCAAGCACTGTGTAACTGGTACCCTACATCCACCTGGGTCTTTCTCCAAAAGGCAGCCTGAGTGATCTATCTTTCCCTTTCCTTTTCCTTTTCTCTTTCCTTTCCTTTCCTTATTTCTTAAGATTTTATTTATTTAACTGACAGAGAGAGAGCAAGAAAGCACAAGCAGAGAGAGAAGCAGAGGGAAAAGGAGAAGCAGTTTCTCCACTGAGCAGGGAGCCTGATGCGGGGCTTGATCCCAGGACCCTAGGATCATGACCTGAGCTGAAGGGAGATCCATAACTGACTGAGCCACCCAGGTGCCCTTGATTTTTCTTAAAATCAAATATTTTGTTACTCACCAGCTTAAAATTTTCTATGGCTTCTTACTGTACTTAGAATTAAGACTAATGTGACTTTAATGTTCTGTTGTTCCACTAAAACTAGCCTTCTATCCCTCTATCCTCACCTTGACCAGTCTCTGCCTTCTAACCACTTTGGTCTCATTTTACTTCCCACACTGACCAAGCTCTCCCTATCAAAGAGATTTCATACACTGATGCTAGATGGGGAAAGCTCTTCTGAATACCAGTTAAGTTCTACTCACTGAGCCTTCAGGGCTCAAGTGTCAATTTCCTGATAGCTGTGTCCTGTCGTGTCCTCCCTTCCCCCATTGGGCTTCTTTATTCTGTATTCTCTTGAACCTTGTTTCCTTTCTTTTCTAGCATTTATGTCCATTTTGTGATTATCCACTGATCTGCATGACTGTTGGATTGATGGCTGCCTCTCTTTACAAGGAGTTAGGTAGTGGTGAAGAGCATGAATGATGGAGCTAAATGACCTGTGTTCTAAGTGCAGCCCTGACACTTACCTAGCTATGTGACACTGAGCAAGTTATTTTCCATGTCTCAGTTTCCTTAACTGTAGAGTGGAGAATATAATAGTATCTACTTCTCATAGGGTTGTGAGGATTTAATAGGTTAATACGTGTGCAAAGTACTTGGAATAGTGCCTGTAAGAACTATTTAACTTGATGAGCTCATTGAGAACAGGAACACTATGTATGCCAAACTCATCATTGTAATCTTACCATGACCTCACCAGAGATCACAGTGCTTGCATATAGTAAATGCACAGGAAACATTTATAAAATCAATAGATAAAGATAGGGTTATCTATGTCAGTACAAATATCACTTTTTCTCATACTTAGTCTTCCCATAGGGCTCAATAAAGAGGAAATGATGGGCTTTTGTAGTTTGGAAATGCTAGAGCTTAATATCCATCCATGTTATTTGAAAACCTAATTAAATCTTTAAAGTTTTGCTTTGATAGTGAAGGACATTAGTGCTTGAATCAGAATAGGCTTCCAGCCCATGTGGGCAGGGTTCTCTCCCTACTCCTTTATAGCTCTAAAATAGGTCCCAATTTACTTCTGTATATTTTCACAGACTTGTCAATTACATTTGACTTTCTCAGTGAATCGCTTCATTTTCTTTTCTCCTTTTGGAGAGCCCCCAAATTTGTACTAATTAGTTGGCCTTCACAAATTTACTGAATTTTCTGGCAGGACTGTTAATAAGCAAGGTAGATGTTTTCGTTGTTTTCACTCATTTTATCTTTGGCCTCATTCTTTTCCTCTATATGTGGTCTCTGCCCATAGACCCTTTGAACTCTTGTGTAAAGGAGATAGGCAAACAAATGACATTAGTGACCCATCAATCAGCAGGTATAAGGGTTTGGGCTGTTCATTCATTCTTTTACTCACTAATTTTATCTGTATGGCAAGTAGGAATCCTGAGCTGAGGGTCATGAAGACCATTATAATAGTTGAGATAAGAAAGGCTGTTGATTGAACCTTGATAGGACAAGATTCAGGGAGCAGGTGGTAGGGTAGGAGAGCAGGGTAGGAAAGAAAAGGAGAAAGAGACTGAGAAGAAAAGGGCTGGTAGATGAATAAAAGAAAAAATAAAAGTAAATCCTTTAAAAATGTCAGCCAGTACAGACAAGCTTTTCTTTTACTGGCAATAATGCATCTGAAATGCATTATTTAGAGAAGACAATATTACCAAAGTCAACATGTATGGTGACAACTTGCCTTGTTGCAGAAGAAAAAAAAAAAAAACAGCGATGTGGAAGTGCTTCAAGTAAATGAAAATGAATCCAGTTCATAATCAAGTAAAAATGTTATGGGTCTGGAGCCAGAGAATATTCTTATAGTGGGCTTTTTTCAGCACCCTAAATTTAACCAGATGGAATGCTTTTTAAAGCACCACCCTATTCAAACTTTGGAAGTGAAGAATTTGTCTTTTAATGGTAAATTTGCATTCCATCAAAAGATGGAACACATCATCCTCAGCTTACTTATTACCCAGAAATAAATTATAATTCAATTTATCTTACTTTATGGTCTTGATGAATACCTAGATTTTAGAAAATTTATTTCAGACATGATCCAGTAGAGGTATACAAACAACATGGGTTGAGGCACATTAAAAATGCGAACTCCATTTCTGGTATACTTAAAGCCATGTAACCACAAATTCTTGTTGGTTTTAATATGAGTATCCTATTTCACAAACCCCAAATAGTGAGGTTAGAGAGAGAATACTCACTACACTGAATATGGAAAAATTAATGCAGCTGAATTATTAGTAAGGGAGGATCTAGTTGCTGAAATGCAAATGGGTCAACAGCAAGTTAACACAGTCCAACAGAGAACCATGAGGTCTGTCAAAAATTCTTGGTTTGGAAACAGTCCCATATTTTACTGAAATAACATCTTGATTTTCTGATAGCTACAACAAGTGGAAGTTGTAGTGGTGGAATTAATGCTGATGGTCCTCTAATTTCTATATAATGGGCTATACTTTTATCAGTCAGCAGGTTGACTTAGATGTCTGTTGGTACTAGGAATTCAGATACAATCTTAACAGTCAACAAATATTTATTGAATGTCAGATATGTGTCAAGCACTGTGGTAGGTGCTGGGAATGTGAGAGGTGGTAGGTACAAAGGCAACTAAGACACTTGCTTATTCTTGTGGAATTAAGGCGGGTAAAGAATACAGACACAAAAGCAGTCATATTGTGATGCAGCCTTTACCTGAGATTTGCACACAATGCAAAGGGGCTCAGTGAAGCAGCTACTCTCTAGTGGGTTAAGTGAAGAAATCATTGCCAGAGAATGTTACATTAGAACTGAACCTTTGCAAATGATCAGGATACTGTGCCTGGCCAGGAAGGAGGAGACCGAAAGAGCAGTGAGGCAGAAGAGTATTTCCAAAAGCCCGGAGTCTTGATGACTTGCCTGGGAATGACGGGTGAGTTAAATGGCTGGATCGGAGCGTGTGAAAGGAATAACATCATCCTTTTTGAGCCTCAGGACAATCCTGGGAGGGGTATGTGTGTGGGGGTCATTCTGATCTCCAGTTTACAGGTGAGGAAGCTGAGGCCTACAGAGGTTAAGTAACATAACCAACATCACCCCATCATTTTTGCAGCTTCAGTTTCATGTCTTGGATAGTAGCTTTATAGAAAGAGCACAGCTGAATCTTGGTCAATGGTATTAAAATGCTAATGTGGGAGAACATACTGTCTTAATAAAAATAATGCTAAATAGGGCTAAATTCCCAAATACTTGAGAGTGAGTTATTCATTACATATAAGCTTGCTTTCTGCCACCCAGCACATTTTTTGCTTGCCCACTTTTGTCAAAAAATGGCCTTTCTTGGGGAATATTGAAATGAGAGACTTCCTTCTTAGATTTTCTTGAGATGTAAGTGGTCCACTTAAACTTAAATCCATTATAATTGCCATTTGTATGGTCCACTCTATATTGGTGCACTCTTAAAGTGACATGCAAAAAAGAGCCTGAGAAATGGGTAGGGACTCCTGGTCTGGGAGCATGAAAGAAGATTCCTCACAATTAAGAGGAGAGAGAGGATGAAGGATGGTTTAGTGTGTGAAAGAAGTAAAAGACAGAAGTGTCTGATTTATCATTTAGGAAATGGAGTCAGAAAACAAAGCCCAGGGAAAGAAATGAAGGAATATGAATTATAATGAACTCTTAATTGGGGTCAGAGTAGGAGAGGAGAAAGTCAAAAGGGAAAAGGTATTAGAAGTACATAGGCCTTACTATGTGGTTATTGTAGAAAGATGACCCGTTCAAATGGAGAAGAAAATTAGCTTTAATTTCTGGGATAGGCCACATTAGACTCGAGGTTGTTGACCCTTGGAAATCAACAGGATGGTTAAATTTTGTCCCGCTATGATGAGCTCTTCAAATGTAGACTACAGAAAATTTAATAAACTTACATCACATATTAAACAAAAGCATTCTAAAGTCAGGTTGACAAGTTTTTTAGATTGTTTTCTGTTTTGAATTATTGCATTTGGTTCTAGTTGTATTGATATTTGACAGTTAATTTTGTAATTCTTCTATTCAAATTGGACATTCAATTGGACTTTGAATTTTCACACACACATACACATACACACATAGAATCAGTTACCTATACTAGTAAAACTAAGAAAATAAAATACTTTAAAAGAGGCAAAATTTTTGTGTGATTTTGGATCAATACAGGAAATTTGTTAAATAGTAATCATGCTATGCTTACAGTGCTCATAAATCAAATAAAATAGAAATAATTTACTAATAAGACTCTTATTTCTTGTTGCAGGGGGCAGGGCAAGCTGGCAGAAGAGCAGGGTCCCCAAGTCTACCTGTTCCCCCCCCACTCAGATAACCTTCAAACCATCCTGAACACCTACACATCCCACCTGAGATTTAAAGAGGAAAGAGCGGCTGCTACAGAGAAGGGGTTTTGCCTCTAACAAGGTAGGAAGGCAGAAAAAAATAGAAAAGAACCAAGTGGGGGAGGGGCCCCCAGGAGCCGGGCTAAGGGCGCAGGAGCCTCGGGGGCAACAGAGCTCGGTTTCTTCTCGGAGGGAAAGTGCTCGCTGGGAACTCGGGCAGGACCTCCCTCTTCTCTTTTTTCCATACAACTCATTTTTATATCAGACTAAAACTTTCCAATATTTTTTCTCTTTTCCCACGTTAACTACAATATTTTTATCACCTCTTCATTTTTCTTTGATTTTAACTTTGGTATTTCTATAATTACATGTCTTAGATATATTTTCCACTTCTAGATGCCCTGCAACATACTCAACTTAATTTTGGGAGATATATAAGATATGTTTGTTTTGTTTTGTGTTTTTTTGTTTTCCCTGCCTCATTTTGTTCTACAATGGTGGAAGTTAGTACCTTCTAAAACATGACCAGTATGCACCCAGAACCAAGTGGTATACCGTGCGGGTTCATTCTGTGAGATTATATCCTCTCTTCATTCCCATTCCGCCCCCCTCTTTTATCTCATTTATGTTTTGATGGTCAGTTGCGGCTTTCTACGTGTATTGCTGGTTTATATAAATTTGGGACTGAGCATCTTTTAATATACAGAACTTAATACACTCAGAACCAAGGGGATCACCCTCTAGGACCCCTCAGAATTATCTAGGGTGAAACTTACTTAGGTCATGGTTGATATTCTTGATGCAGCCCATTCATACAGCCACTCTGCACTGAGCAAAATGACTAGAAGGAAGAACTCACCATGAAAGAAAGAATCAGAAACAGTGCTCTCTGCCATAGAGTTACAGAATTTGGATTACAATTCGATGTCAGAAAGCCAGCTCAGAAGCACAATTATAAAGCTACTGGTGGCTCTGGAAAAAAGCATAAAGGATTCAAGAGACTTAATGACTGCAGAATTTAGGTATAATCAGGCCAAAATTAAAAATCAATTAAATGAGATACAATCCAAACCCTCATCCTAACGATGAGGGTTAATGAGGTAGAAGAGAGTGAGTGACATAGAAGACAAGTTGATGGCAAGGAAGGAAGCTGAGGAAAAAAGAGAAAAACAATTAAAAGACCATGAGGAAAGGTTAAGAGAAATAAATGATAGCCTCAGAAGGAAGAATCTAAGTATAAGTGGGGGCAGAAAACATATTTGAACAAATCATAGCTGAGACCTTCCCTAATTTTGGGAGAGAAACAGGCATTCAGATCCAGGAGATAGAGAGGTCTCCTCCAAAAGTCAATAAAAACCGTTCAACACTGTGACATTTAATAGTGAAACTTGCAAATTCCAAAGACTAAGAGAAAATCCTTAAAGCAGCGAGAGACAAGAGATTCTTAACTTATATGGGGAGAAAGATTAACAGCAGACCTCTCCACAGAGACCTGGCAGGCCAAAAAGGCTGGCAGGATATATTCAGGGTCTTAAATGAGAAGAACATGCAGCCCCAAATGCTATATCCAGCAAGGGTCTCATTCAGAATAGAAGGAGAGATAAAGAGCTTCCACGATAGGCAGAAACTGAAAGAATATGTGACCACAAACCAGCTCTGCAAGAAATATTAAGGGGGGCCCTGTAAAAGAAAGAGGAAGCCCAAAGAAATAATCCACAAAAATAGGGACTGAATAGGTATTACAATGACACTAAATTCATATATTTCAATAGTAACTCTGAACATGAATGGACTAAATGATGCCATCAAAAGATGCAGGGTATTGGACTGGATAAAAAAAAAAAGACCCATCTATTTGCTGTCTACAAGAGACTCATTTTAGACCTAAGGACACATCCAGCCTGAAAATGAAAGGTTGGAGAACCATTTACCATTCAAATAGTCCTCAAGGGGCAGCCCTAATGGCTTAGTGGTTTAGCACCGCCTTCGGCCCAGGGCATGATCCTGGACACCTGGGATCGAGTACCACGTCGGGCTCCCTGCATGGAGCCTGCTTCTCCCTCTGCCTGTGTCTCTGTCTCTGTCTGTCTGTCTCTAATAAATAAATAAAATCTTGATTAAAAACAAAACAAAACAAATGGTCCTCAAAAGGAAGCTGAGGTAGTAATCCTCCTATCAGATAAATTAAAGTTTATCACAAAGACTGTAGTAAGAGATGAAGAGGGACACTATATCATACTTCAAGGGTCTATCCAACAAGAAGACCTAACAATCATGAATATTTATGCCCGTAATGTGGGAGCTTCCAAGTATATCAATTAATAACCAAGGTAAAGACATACTTAGATAATAATACACTAATAGTAGGAGACTTCAACACAGCACTTTCTGCAAGTGACAGATCCTCTAAGCACAACATCACCAAAGAAACAAGGGCTTTAAATGATATACTGGACCAGATGGATTTCACATATATATGCAGAACTTTCCATCCGAATGCAACTGAATACACATTCTTCTCAAGTGCACATGGAACTTTCTCCAGAATAGACCACATATTGGATCACAAACCAGGTCTCATCAAATACCAAAAGATTGGGATTGTCCCCGGCATATTTTCAGACCACAGTGCTTTGTAACTATAATTCAATCACAAGAAGAAATTTGGAAGAAACTCAAACATGTGGAGATTAAAGAGTATCTTACTAAAAGATGACTGGATCAACCAGGAAATTAGGAAAGAATTAAAAAGATCCATGGAAACTAATGAAAATGAAGGTACAACTGTTCAAAATCTTTGGGATACAGCAAAAACAGTCCTAAGAGGGAAATACATTGCAATATAAGCATCACTCAAAAAATTGGAAAAAACTCAAATACGTAAGCTAACCTTACACCTGAAGGAACTGACGAAAGAGCAGCAAATAAAACCTACACCAAGCAGAAGAAAGATAATAAAGATTCGAGCAGAACTCAATGACATAGAAACCAGAAGAACTGTGGAACAGATAAACAAAAGCAGGAGTTGGTTCTTTGAAACAATTAATAAGATAGATAAACCATTAGCCAGCCTTATTAAAAACAAAAGAGAAAAGACTCAATAAAATCACAAATGAAAAAGGAGAGATCACAACCAATACCAAGGAAATACAAATGATTTTAAAAACACATTATAAGCAGCTATACGCCAATAAATTAGGCAATCTAGAAGAAATGGATGCATTTCTGGAAAACCACAAAATACCAAAACCGGAACAGGAAGAAATAGAAAACCTGAACAGGCCAATAACCAGGGGGTAAATTGAAGCAGTCATCAAAAACCTCCCAAGACACAAAAGTCCAGGGCCAGATGGCTTCCCTGGGGAATTCTATCAAACATTTAAAGAAGAAATAATACCGATTCTACTAAAGCTATTCCAAAAGAAAGAAAGGGAGAGAATACTTCCAAAATATTGGTTCTATGAGGCCAGCATCACCTTAATTCCAAAACCAGACAAAGACCCCACCAGAAAGGAAAATTATAGACCAATATCCCTGATGAACACAGATGCAAAAATTTTCAACAAGATACTAACCAAAGGATCCAACAGTAAATTAAGATTATTCATAAAATCCAAACCAAGTGGGATTTATCCCCAGGATGCAAGGCTAGTTCAACTCTCATAAAACAATCAACGTGATCCCATCCACAAGAGAAAAAACAAGAACCATATGATCCTCTCAATAGATGCAGAGAAAGCATTTGACAAAATATAGCATGCATTCCTGATCAAAACTCTTCAGAGAGTAGGGGTAGAGGGAACATTCCTCAGCATCTTAAAAGCCATCTATGAAAAGCCACAGCCAATATCATTCTCAATGGGGAAATACTGGGAGCCTTTCCCCTACGATCAGTGGACAAGGATGTCCACTCTCACCACTGCTATTCAACATAGTACTAGAAGTCCTAGCCTCAGCAATCAGACAACAAAAAGAAATAAAAGGCATTCAAATTGGCAAAGAAGAAGTCAAACTCTCCCTTTTCGCCGATGACATGATACTCTACATAGAAAACCCAAAAGCCTCCACCCCAAGATTGCTAGAACTCATACAGCGGTTCGGGAGTGTGGCAGGATACAAAATCAATGCCCAGAAATCAGAGGCATTTCTATACACTAACAATGAGACTAAAGAAAGAGAAATTAAGGAATCAATTCCATTTACAATTGCACCCATAAGCATAAGATACCTCGGAATAAACCTAACCAAAGAGGTAAAGGATCTATACACTAAAAACTACAGAACACTTCTGAAAGAAATTGAGGAAGACAAAAAGAGATGGAAAAATATTCCATGCTCATGGATTGGCAGAATTAATATTGTGAAAATGTCCATGTTACCCAGGGCAATTTACATGTTCAATGCAATTCCTATCAAAATACCATGGACTTTCTTCACAGAGTTGGAACAAATCATCTTAAGATTTGTGTGCAATTGGAAAGACCGCAAATAGCCAGGGGAATATTGAAAAAGAAAACTAAAGCCAGGGGCATCACAATGCCTGATTTCAAGTTGTACTGCAAAGCTGTGATCATTAAGACAGTGTGGTACTGGCACAAAAACAGACACATAGATCAATGGAGCGGAATAGAGAACCCAGAAATGGGCTCTCAACTCTATGGTCAACTAGTATTCAACAAAGTGGGAAAGACTGCACTGGAAAAAGGACAGTCTCTTCAATAAATGGTGCTGGGAAAATTGGACAGCCACTTGCAGAAGAATGAAATGGACCACTCTCTTGCACCATACACAAAGATAAACTCAAAATGGATGAAAGATCTAAATGTGAGACAAGATTCCAACAAAATCCTAGAGGAGAACACAGGCAACACCCTTTTTGAACTTGGCCACAGCAACTTCTTGCAAGATACATCTATGGAGGCAAGGGAAACAAAAGCAAAAATGAACTATTGGGACTTCATCAAGATAAAAAGCTTCTGCACAGCAAAAGAAACAGTCAACAAAACTAAAAGACAACCTACAGAATGGGAGAAGATATTTGCAAATGACGTATCAGATAAAGGGCTAGTATCGAAGATCTGT